CGTATTCCACCGTTCGTAAATAATATTTAAAGTAACTTATAATACATTATAAAGGACTGCGGCGAGTGATTATAAACAATACTTAAAGTTACACCGCATAAGTTACTTTTTTGTGAAAAATCAATATTTATTTCAAAGAGAAATATTTACTATTTCTAACTTTTTTGAATGAAGTATGAGAGGGTGAAAATATGAAGAGTAATGGCGAACGGAAAATTAAAAGTGTCCAGGGGCGGGAATCGAACCCACAACCTTCTGCTTACCGGGCAGGTGCCATGTCCACTATTTTATTTTTCCGTTCGCCATTACTCTTCATATTTTCACCCTCTTATACTTCATTCAAAAAAGTTAGAAATAGTAAATATTTCTCTTTGAAATAAATATTGATTTTTCACAAAAAATAAACTTATGCGGTGTAACTTTAAGTATTGTTTATAATCACTCGCCGCAGTCCTTTATAATATATATTATATCAAACTAGATTTATTTTTTAATACTTTTAAGATATTTTCACTTTAAAAATAAATTTTCATTTTTTAGCGACTTTTAAAAATTTTATTTCTGATATTTAGCAATATATTTATAATATTTTTTTTTTCTGCTATAAATAATTTTATTTTCATTAAATTTGTCTAATTTAGACATTTTTATATCCATTTTAATCAAGCAATTGGAATAATACAATTGAGATGACTGTCAAATACAGTTTGTTATGATAGATATGGCACTTTGAATTTCTTTTCTCTATTTTCTCGTTACAAGTTGCTACCCAGCTTAAATTTAAAAAAATTCATAACTAATATTTTAAATGTTGTTATTAAAGTGCAATAAAATGTGTTAATAAAATGAATATTTATATTATTAATAAGAAAAATGTCATTAATGTTAATGTTATCTTCAAAATACAAAACTAATTATACGTAGAATAACATGCATATGATTCTTATAATATTTTCAAACAGATTTTAAAATTATTTCAAACATTTTAAAATTATTTTGGTAAAATTTATTATGAAAAACATTTTTCAAGTTGAATTTATAAACATAAATATCCAATATATTTTTTAAATATATTTATTTAATAAATTTACCTCGTTCTTTTACATTATATAAAATATTAGGTAGAATGTCTATCTGACTCTACACCAACTCTATATATAATATTGACATTCTATCATATCAATAACAAGTAAAACTTTGAAGATATATGAATGCGCAAAAATAATAATTGATAGAAGTGAGTCAGGAAGACCTTTTTTAACTCGATAACTCAGTCGTAAAATACACTCATTACTAATGATCTAGTTATATATATATATATATATGTATGAAAAAGACAAAGGCATCTCCTTATCGTGCAACTGAAAGTTACTGATGGCTTACGCCATCTATCGGAATAAATATCAACTATTCTCGTTGATTTATAATCATTCCAGAATTGACCAAATACCCATTCTTGATTAATCAAGAAAAGCTAACCACGTACGCGTTTCGGGCTGTTGGCCCTCATCAGCGTGGTGCAAGCTGTACCTCAATAATCCACTCTCTCTAGCAATTCTATCATTTCTAAATAAAAATTGAATATTACAATGCACTAGCGCGCCATCTGTTATCAAATTACAAAACTATTTTAGACGCGTAATATTCTTTTAAAAATAAAACAATTTCTACTGCCCTTACTGCAATGGAAAAATTAAAGGGAGGGCCTGGCTCATCAGTGGATGAAACTCCCAGCGGTTTCGCCAGTTTAATCTACCATACCGCTGTTATATCGCATTTTTGGAACATCCTTTTATAGTGATACTGATGCTTGACTCTTCGAATGGGTATTTTAAATGAACTATGGACATAATCTTTTAGGACAGCAGAATTACATATAATTATAAATATATAATATTAACTCAATATATAGAAGTAAAGGGATATAGAGTACACATCCTTTATATAAAGATATTAAATAATCTCTTTTATATTTATACATACTGGCTTATATATATATATATGTTATGAATATTTTGTTTTGATGTTGGAATGATAAAGAATTGGAGGTGCAGTCGTGAAAAAGGAAAGATAGTTATTTGCCTTTCAAGTAGCTTTTATTTTCAATTACTTGAAAATAATTACACATTAAATATTTTTCACAGTAATATAGAATTTATATAAAATGAAATCCTATATTCGTGAATTGAAAAATAGGTAGGTCAACTATACATATTTAAAACAATTTTCAAAGTATTCTAAATCTATGGTCAAAAATAAAAGAATAGTCAATGATGAAAATAAAATACATGTTTTTAAAAAATAAAATATTTGCATTTTAGATTATATAACATATATTGTCGCAAAGTATGCATTATTTTATTAACAGAGTATCATTTTTTTATGTTTATATTTTGCTACTCTGTAAATTTCCCTCTTTGCTTATCTTTTGTTTATCATTCATAGTTTGTTCTTGCCTTGAATAAATTGCTGTGTCATTCTGTAGTTTGTCTTCCCTAATTTTCCACGTGGCAATATATATCAAAGTTATGTGGAGAAGTAACTTACCCATAAATAGTGTATATTTCTCCACTACTTAATAAGCCAGTAGAAAAGCATCGTTGCTCGAAAGGCTCACAGAGATTATTCTGTGAACTCAACATTCAAACTGAATTCCTTTAATATTCCCAATAAATACTTAGAAACACAGATTAACCATAGGCATCTATTTCTCAACTAAAGATATACTATATGTACAATATTAAATATCATATTATCTCTTTTAGAATAGAGCGGTCACAGATTATTCTGTGAACTATAAAATTTATTATTTTAATATTACCGACAAATTGCATATAAACGATGGAAAGCCTGCTATCTTAGCTTTTAATACAGAAACCTATTACAAATTCTCTTATTACTATTTTGCGTGTATTTCAGTAAATTGGTTAGACACTTATATTTTAATGCTTAAACGAAATACCATTCATTATTCAATGTATTTCTTTGAATTGTTTAAGTAAATTTTGTTTTAAATGTTTTTGTTGTGTGGATTTTTATGTGTGTCAAGTCCCTCCTTTTCGTAATATTATTTTTTCCTATTTTTTAAAAACTTTTTGAAATATTAAAATTTATCAATGTTGGCAGAATTGGTTCACTTGCGTGCACTTGTGAAAACGAAAAACAAAACCCTGAACACCTTCTGATAAACTGTCCATTAACTTCTGATCTAAGGGAATAAAACCAACTTTATCTGACAAATACAAAATAAGTTGTTTACAATAAAGACCAATACATCAAGTTTAATAGATTCTGCAGGATGTATAATTTAAGGCGAAAGTATTGACTGTACATATTTCAAGCTACTATTTATAATTCCTATATGCAAAATTTGACATCGAATGTGTAATTTGCGTGCTTCCCAATGTTCAATTGTGTTAATTTCACAATGATTTGATTTGTATATATAATTTCAGATTTACACGCAATTATCCTAATTGTGGATATGGCGTGTCTTTGCAACTGTTAAATAAATAATATTGAAGAAATATGATTTTATAAATAATTGAGAATGTAGATTTAATTTGTTTGTACTTTATAATACCTTTTATTTTAAAGTTATATAGAAAAATAATTTTGAGAATAAATGAAATATATCTTTTATAAATGTTAAATTGAATATATTAAATATTATACATTGAATAAATGTTTAAAATTGCTAATTAAAATCTTAATATAGTCGATTTGTAATAAAATCATTTTGATAGGCCAACAAATACCTAAAATAGTTCTGAAATGCCTCGAGAGATGGCGGTAGTGTGTAGAGTAGAGCTGAATGAGAAAATAAAAGACGTTTTGAAATATTTTCGAACAAGATGTGTTATTTTAATAATATTATTTTTTAAATTGTATTTTTAAAACTCTCCTACCTGTATATTATAAAGTACTAATTATCAAAACTATCAATTGATATTAATAATTGAATCACTTTTTAAAATGTTGTTTCTTAACATTATACTTTACATTTTTTTCTCGAAGGCAATAATACCTAAAGGAGTTTTAAAATTTTAGGTGAAATTGTTCTATGACCGGTGTGCTTCTCATATATAGTACCCTCATGGACATACCTAAAGAAAGTTATACCTTTTAGCATGTGTTGATGTCTTTTTCACACTATCTGTTGGTTGGCTGGAGACTTCGTCTGGTTTGTATTTACTTTATACTCTTATGGACACATAACACACAAAACTTAAGGAAGTTGTACCTTTCACCATGTATATCGGGATTCAGACAATAACTCTGAAAGATATTACAGTGACCTTTATTGTAGACACACGAGATAAACAAGTATATATACACTCATGTACAAAACTTAAGGAAATTGTACCTTTCACCATGTATATCGGGATTCAGACAATAACTCTGAAAGATATTACAGTGACCTTTATTGTAGACACACGAGATAAACAAGTATATATACACTCATGGACAAAACTTAAGGAAATTGTACCTTTCACCATGTATATCGGGATTCAGACAATAACTCTGAAAGATATTACAGTGACCTTTATTGTAGACACACGAGATAAACAAGTATATATACACTCATGGACAAAACTTAAGGAAATTGTACCTTTCACCATGTATATCGGGATTCAGACAATAACTCTGAAAGATATTACAGTGACCTTTATTGAAGATACGAGATAACCAGGTGTATATACACTCATAGACAAAACTTAAGGAAGTTGTACCTTTTACCATGTATATCGGGATTCAGACAATAACTCTGAAAGATATTACAGTGACCTTTATTGTAGACACACGAGATAAACAAGTATATATACACTCATGTACAAAACTTAAGGAAATTGTACCTTTCACCATGTATATCGGGATTCAGACAATAACTCTGAAAGATATTACAGTGACCTTTATTGTAGACACACGAGATAAACAAGTATATATACACTCATGGACAAAACTTAAGGAAATTGTACCTTTCACCATGTATATCGGGA